CTCTCGCTGGCTTCGTGCCGTTGCCACGCGTGGGTGGGGCAGCTTCGACATTGGACGTCCAGTTACCGCGGTACGTCCGCTGGACGGAGAGGTCTTGGTTACTGCCGTTACGTGGCCGGCTGCTGGGTGAGGAGCGTGGTGGCTGCTGCGCCATGTACAGGCGATGTTTGACGGTGATCGGTGTCCGCCATCAGACCTGAACAGCGTGCCGGGCCGTCGGAAGCTGATGGGGAGACTGCTGCGGCTGCGCCGGCTGCACGAGCGCTGCTGGCTGCTGGTGGAGCGGGACCGGCCGCGCGGCCGGCCCGGGCAGCCGCCGCCGCCGTCCGCCAGGAGTCGGGGCGCCGACCGACTGCTGGCCCGCGCCGGCATCCACCTGCTGCACTCGGAGACGCCCGGTCAGTGATGTGACCTGACCTGACCAGGGCTGGGCTTGTCGGACCTGATCTGATCCAGGTTCTGGCCGCGCTGGTCCGGCGAGACCTCGCTCGGGCGGGTGTATTCTGCTCTGACCTGACCTCCCATAGCTTGGACCGGCTGTGCAAACGACCGGCTGTACGAACTGTGCGCTGTCGTTGGTAGTGAGACGGCCGGACTTGAGACGCTGGCGTTGTCAGGCGCTGGATGGCTGCGAAAATGCGGCTTACGTCCTGCAATGTGGCTGCACTGTGACGTCGTGTCACGCGGCTTCGTTACCCCGTATTCATCTCGTCCCAAATCGCCATCGCACGGATTCATTTTCTGTCCGAAATTGTATTGCTTGGCTTGTACGCAAAGTGTCAGGAAAGCTGTTCCGGGTGTTCTTTTTGTACTCGAAAAGCAGCTGCTTGCAAGGCGACTGTCGTGGACACCTCATGGTGGCGTGTGTCGGTGGACGAGTCACCTGCGGAACGCGTCACCCTCCCCTATCGAGCCGGTGCGCTTCCGACAACCCTGTCTCCACACAACAGCGGGGGTGGAGGCGCTACTTGTGTCGCTTAGTAACCTGAACATGGATAGTTTGTTATTAGGATGCAGGCAGAACTAACTTGTCAAATATAAAGCAACTTACAGGTACTGTGCTTCTTCGCTAACATGGCTTTGGCTACAGTGCATAAGCCGATGCGGGTTTGTTGCTGCTGTCCCCGCCGTGGCACCCATGCCGCCGTGCTATCGCTCCGCCGTGCCACCGTGTGACCCGTCCGTCGTGCCGCCATGTTGCCCTTCCGTCGTGCCACCGTGTGACCCCCCCCCCCCCGTCGTGCCGCCGTGTGACCTCTCGCCCGTGCCGCCGGGTAGCCCCTCTGTCGTGCCGCGGTGTGACCCTTTCACCGTGCCATCATGTGACCCCTTCCCCCGTGCCGCCGTGTTACCCCTCCGTCGTGCCGCCGTGTGATCCTTCCACCGCGCCATCATGTGACCCCCTCCTCCGTGCTGCCGTGTTACTCCTCCCCTGTGCCGTCGTGTGACCCCCTCCCCCGTGCCGCCATGTGACCCCTCCCTCGTACCGCCGTGTGACCCCCTCCGCCGTGCAGCTGTGTGACCCTTCCCCCGTGCCGCCGCAGCGGAGAGCGCGGCGCTGCTGTCGCGGCTGGCGGTCGCCGAGCGCGCGGCCGGCTTCGGTCTGCCGGCGGCCGTGCCGCTGGCGCCTCTGGAGGAGGCCCGCCGCCGCCTGCTGGCAGCGCTGCCGCGAGTGAGCGTGCCGCTGGCCGCCGACCTGCGCCGCCGGCCTGGGCCCGCTGGCCCGCTCTCTCGCCTGGTGAGTCGGCTGGGCGCTGACCGCGTCAGCCTCGCGTGGTTTAGTTTGACATGCGTAACGCCCTTGACGCGGCAGCCTCTCACGCTGCTTATGGCTGGCGAAACAGAAACACAGCCGGCTGCAAGTCTTTAGCCCACACCGGCTCGTTTGTCGGTCAGTCACGCGACATTGACCGAGGGCGACCCCGCGGGTGTCCTTCGGTGCCGCCGAGAATCGGGTCATGGAAAGTGGGGCCATTGAGACTTATTCGTGCTGTATGGATAGCGTCTCTTCGCGACTCGTGCTGTGTTTCTTACGGCGGTGGCGATCCCTGCTGTGGTGCCCGTGTATTTGGCGGCACCTGCTGTACTTTCTGTGTCAGTGGCAGCCTGCATTGCAGTGCCCGTGCCGACAATGATCCTCGCTGTTCTGCCTGTGTCGGCGGCAATACTGTGTCGTCATTGTCGGTAGCGAGTCACGCTGTTTTGTCAGTGACAATGGTGATTTCTGTCGTACCGTCTGTAGCGGTGATTGCTCTGGTGCGTTGCCTTGTGATGAGCGACCTGTGTCACTGGCGAAGGTGGTACCTGTTTCCGCTGCTGCTTCTGCGTCGGCTATGATTTTTGATGGGCCACCCATGTCGGTGGTGGCTCATGTGACGGCGCCTGGTGTGCTTTACAGCTGTGGCTTCTATCAACGGTTACTCCCGTTGTGCTGCTGATATCGACGGCCACGTCCTCTGGTGCTCGAGCTTGTGGTGAACTGCACTGTGTTGCCTGCGCCCATGTTTACCCGCGATTGTCTGTGTCGATGGTGACTCTCGCTGCCCAACTGCGTCGTAACTGACTCCTGCTGGCTAACTGCGTTGGTGTTGATTCCCGCTGTCCAACTGTGTCGGTGTTGACTTCCGCCGCCCAGCTGCGTTGTAGTTTGACTCCCGCCGCCCAAGTGCGTCGGTGTCAGCTCCCGCTGCTGGATGGCATGGGCATTGACTCCCGCCTCTCAGCTGTGTCGATGCTGACTCCCGCTGTCTGACTGCGTCATTTTTTACTCCCGCTGCCAACTGTGTCGGTGCTGGCTCCCGCTGCCCAGTTGCGTCGATGCTGGCTCTCGCTGCCCGGCTGCGTCTGTGTTGAGGTGACCGTCGCTTTGTTTGGTTGCAGCTCGCCGTCCGAACTGCAGCGCCATCTGCCTGGCGTGATCTCGTCGGCCAGGGCGGTGGAGCTGTGTCAGAACCTCAAGAGGAACCTCGCACCGACCAACCCGACCTGACCCGGTCTAATTTGATTTGACCCGGCCCGACCTGACCCAAGCCGGGTCGGTCTACTGGTCTACTCCCAACGGACGTTGGACTGCTTTGATTGGAAGACGTCCAAAAGCGCTGCCTCGAGACGCCGCCTTGGGGCGCGGACTGCTCTGATGGCTGTGCGCGCGGGCCCCTATCGTGACTGTGTCACCGGCCTGCACTGCCCCTATTATGGTGACATGTCAGGGCTACATATCTGGAATTGGAACCGTGCAATATATGTGTGTGCCAAAGAGCCATGGTGTTTCTGTGAAGGTAATGACATTGTGGACGCGTTATAAGAAAGTCGGCTGCATTTAACGAGTTGCTTACAACTGCAAGTTCATGACATCATTGCACGTCCTCGACGTGTCTTCCACGTTCTTGTATTTACGGTGCGCACTCATGGAATTTTCACCCCTTCGATGGCTTCGGTGCCTCTCTTTCCGCCTGCCCTATCTTTATCTCCCCTATATCAATCTGTCTGCCTCTTTGTTTGAATAAGGTCAGATGTTGACTCTGCCTCTGTGCCTGAATCATGGCAGAGGCAGACTGCCTCTGTGCCGGAATGACGAAGCTGGCTGTCTGAATGACGTCTACGCTGATCTCCCCACCAATGTTTCGGAGCTTGACACGACCGCAACCCTCCAGGCTCGTCAACGCATGCCTCCGATTTTGCCTCGCGTCTCACCTATCGTTTGGTTGGGTTCCCGGCAGAGATGCGTTCTGGTTGTTTGATGAGAACTGCGCTACATTAGGCCATATGAAACGATGCTTCGACACGGATGTGTTGCACACATTTGAGTACTTTCAGACCTACAGCAAGCTTGATCGTGTCATATTGGCGGCAGTCCTATCCTGGGGCACTACGGCGGGGAAAAAGACGTCGTGAGCCATGGACAACATGGCAGGATTGTGAACAACATGAATGAAATCAGTTTCGGTGACTGTCATCAAACGCATCTGCTTACCTACCGTGGTCTGGTGAAACGGTTACCATCTCTTTCGGGTGCACACGTTTTGACTTCAGAACATGCATAAGGGTGAGATAACACACCCTCCAATTTCCATAGGAATCAAAGTTCCATTAGGGACATCGGCATGTTGCGTGCCGATGAATACGTTCAAAGCTTTGCGGCTCTCAACGGTTGACCGGGGCTTAGGTGTACATGTCACATGTTTGCATGGAAGTGTACCGTGTGACAGAAGCTTGAAGCATGCTATACTGGTTAATTCGGTATTCTCTTTCGGCGGAAATTTCCATTTAATTCGCACATAGGAAGCTCCGCCAAGTTTTGGCCCTGGTACATAAACGGACTGCATTGTGAGTCTAGTGTTTGGTGTCGGTGCACTGGGCCATTGGTAACACCGAGGTTTACAATGTCAGTGTGAAATTGTCCAATATTTCGATCGTTTCAGATTTATCATGGTTTTCAGGGTGCTATTTAGATCCATTGTCTATTCGCCGCAGGAGACACCCAATTTTGGGGATTAGCGCTCTTAAATATGTCTTGCCCTGCATCACCCTGATGCTACTCAATTTCAGGGAGGCGTTTCTTTTTCATGGGGGTTTTCCTTGTCATCTTGGGACTCGGTGGGACGCTGGTGGCACGGTTCATCATGCCCCCTACGCTTTGACCTATGGTTGAGTTTCCTGCACTTTTTTTGTACGCATGGCTCCAGCGAAGGCCCATCGCCAGGTGCCGCGGCAGCGTTTGGCCTAAGCAGCTGATACTATCCCAAGCACATCGTTATGATAAAAGAAACAGCAAAATATGCTTCACTGGACTCTGATTCAGTGATTTTGCTCAATATTTCACGAGAATTGCATTTGAACAGATTACATTAAGTGACGTAAATAGTTTATGGGTCGCATACATATAGCCCTCTGTATAAGGGTTTACAAAGTAAGCCAGCAATTTAGTGTCATCTGTCGGAGCGAAATTGACGAGGCTTGACACGCACAACAACGCGTCGGGAGCGACGTTGTAAGAAGCGTACGAAGTGGTGTGGATTTGCGGTGGCGCTGGGTAGTGGCGGCGGAGCAATGAGGTGTCGTTGAGCAGGCCGGTCCCAATCCAACTGGATCACTGAAGATAAGAATAAAACAAAGAAATCAGACCATACTAGCGTAGGTAATACATGACTGAGGTGCCTCAGTTGGGCCTGGAGTGGCGTATGTTTGCACTGGTGCCTGGGGTGTATCGCTGACTGTTGTAAAGGATAGGCAGGTCTAGACGGCTCCCGGTGTGGCTGTAGAACGAATGGTTGAATGTAAGTGGAAGTCACATAATAGTTGGCTTGACTTAACTGTGCTTCTCACTTGGTATAAAACCACACAAGGTATATTGTCACACCCTTACCATGCCAGGTGTGCATGTCATAGCTGCCAAGCGTACCATGACCGAAGTTTGATGATATCTGTAGTCACTGGTGTTCTGCTTTGGTGATTCATATTCAAGATGAGCACTTCCTTTTGATTTGTGGTTTTCCCTTTATGAAGATGGGATATGGCATGAACTTAAACTGATGGAATGAAATGAGGGCATTAAGTGACTTTGAAGTGGGATTTCGGCTTGTATACATATGATAGCATGTCTTCTGTACAATTAAAAACCTGGTGTTGTTTACAAAATGGGATGTGAAGACCAAATTGACCCATTTAACTTGATATAGTGAATGGAGTGTACCTAGCATGCCACTTAACACAGCAAATAGAATATGTTGCACACCTGTTTGATCAACTTGTGTTTGTACAGCCAAGATAGATATTCATCTTTGGTTTGCACATCCGAAGCAGACACACCGTTGTTGATTTCTAGCCATAGATTATGTAGTCTGAATGCCAGTGGGCCTCATGGGCATCCACATTTGTTTTCAGTCTTTTACCACAAGTGCAAAACAAAAATGGCTTCATCATCTAATATGAGCTCTGACATCAGTAGAAGAAATCCACAAGATGATTATGAAATAATTCAGCGTATTGGAAGCGGAACATATGGGGACGTGTACAAGGTGGGTATTGGTTTGCTTTTAAATCATATGTTTATTTCAAAAAGCCTGGCTCATTGAATAGCTTCATGATGCAGGTGTTTTTCAAGGCAGTCCTGTATTATTGCAGTACCTAGTATCATGGCAGCCATTCAAATCTAGGTGATAGAAAAACCCAGATGATATAAAGAATACACTCATGGCTGAATCATATGCTTTGATTGGTACTCTAAGGGTGAAATTTTATATAATTAGCTTACATATCATCACCCTTACTGATGCATGTTTGTGTCTTTGTTATTTATGGGCTTTTGTGTTCATTGGTGTTTTTGCATATTATCACCTACTCAGGGTGCTTTTTGTCAGCAGCTACAGTTGATGGATTGCTGTCAGTGATAACATATTTTTCAGGCTACACGACTTTCCACAAATGAAGCAGCAGCTATCAAAGTTATCAAGCTCCAGCCAGGTAAGTAACATAAGGAGTTACATAAAATAAGCAAATCTGCATATATTACTTTCTTCTAGTATTCTGATTGGCCCTTATGGTAGTTACCCTCATAAGCCCATATTCATCAAAAGTGAGAAAAGGAATTGGTTTTGGCAAATCTGATGTTAGCTTAATTATTTTGCATTTGATTATGGCTTCTATCTAACTTTCACTGTGATTTGTTAATTTGCTCCACACATGCCCGCCAGTGTGTGTGGTTGGTGACAAATTGTGAGGAGTCCTCCAGCCAAATGGGTTTTTAACTCAGTTTTTTTCTGAATGTCCACACATACAATTCCTCAACAGCCAGTCTGAGAAAACCACCACTCTTTCATGCATACATGACTGGCCATTGATCACTGAGTGGCTGAGCACTGCTGGGCCTGGGGACACTGGCACAGGGGAACAGTCACCTGAGATGCACCCTCGTGGCCTCTGACTGGCGTGCCCGCTGGCGCCCTGCCACCGCGCTCCGAGCCGTCCGTTTCTGACCAGTTCGCGTGTTCCCCGTGTAAGAGACTTGGACGAGACTGTCGTGGGGCGAGGCAGGATCGCCTTCACGGCCCGGTAAGCCGCATGCGCTGGACGCTTCGTCGTGCCCCGGACCTCCACTTCAGCCGTGTCTGTGATCGTCCTGTTACGACTTCCGGCCAGTTCCTCTCATCCTTGTGGGCAGTCCGTTTGTCCGACTTCTGACCAGTGTTATCTGCCATTCTAGCCTCACTGCCTCGATCCTCCCTGCATGACACCGATCTTTGTCTTCGGCCCGTCGCCCGCGTCCTCCATGCTCAGCGCATGGCTGTCTGTCATCCGCCCTCATGGGGCGTCCACATGGTGCTCATCCGCTCACATGGGGCGTCCACATGGCGCTCATCCGCTCACATGGGGCGTCCATATGGCGCTCATCCGCTCACATGGGGCGTCCATATGGCACCCATCCGCTGATATGCGGCGCCCTCTCTGTCTTCCCATCCTACTCATTTCCCTGTGTCTCATCTCCTGCGTGGTCTGGCAAGCCACTCGGTGTGTGGATTCCTCGTTTATCACCTGAGTCAGCTTGCTCTGTCCTTGTTTCCGGAGTTCGTCAGCTCCTTACATTTGTTGTGCCATTCCTCCTCCTTCAGACAGATTGTGTTGCATTTGCTAAGTCTGACTCGCTGGCCGCCACCGTTCCATGCCCTCGCGACCTCCAGAACCCATCGGCGGTGTACACGCTTGTTCACTCTTCCTGGTGGTCCATCGTCAGCAGACAGCGCGATTTAGCCTAGCATAGTGTAGCGTTTTCTCGTGTCTGACTAACCAAGATCGGCGCGCACGGCATCTCACCGTACGCCAGATGCGCCTCTTAGAACGGGCGTAGTCATGCGGTGTTTTGTCCTTAGTTTTGCTGGCCTTTTGGCCAGGCTTAAGAGGCTCGGCTGCTCAGCTGCGGCTAGACACTGCCAGCGTGAGCTTCTGAATGCATGCCAGTGAGACGGCTCAGACAAGACGTGTGCAGAGGGGGCGGAGCGTACACTGATCAGCTCAGCCAGTTACCGATTGCTGCTGCGCGCGCACCTGGAGAGAGGCTACGCTGTCGGGGTGCATATTTCGATGGAATATTCGACTACCTCCATGCGATGGTGGTCATGGCTTGTGTAGTGATTGAGAGGCTAGGAAGCTGCGTTGCTGCTCACGCATATTGTATCCAGTTGTGTGAGAACATCACTTCACGGTGTTGAATGGTTTCGCATACAATGTGCAGTTGTCCAGTAGCTTTAATTTAATTCACGAGGACCCGCAGCTCCAAAGCGGCCTTAAATTGGCCAAAGGCCGATAACGATGGAGTCCCCCGTACTTCTCCCGGGCTGACAATAACCAACGCCAGCCGAGGGCGTTGTCGGGACCCGTCCGGCGCCGTGCTCGCGGCTGGGACGGCTGTGACGGCGGCAGCGTCGGAGGCCCGCGGGTGCGGACGGACGGACGCGCGTCGGACGCCGCCCGCTCGTGCCCGCCGCCGCCGCGTGGCGACGGCTCTAGAGCAGGCCGCGGCCAGACCGCGACCTGTCAGCTGTCACTCACAGCTGCCGACCAGCGTCGGCATGCCGGCGGCGACGCGAGGTCCAGCGCAGCGGGCGCTGACGCTGGCGGGCGGCGCGACAGGTGGACACGCTCTGTTTCCTCTCTCCGGGATTGCGTCGTTGATTGGTTGGGCCACGAAGTGGAGATGGGCCCGGCGAACATTGGGCCGAAATACGTGTGTTTTCGTCGAGCAGAATATTGTGTCGGGGCATCGAAGCGGTGGTGTGTTTGCAAACCGGCGGCTCCGGCCGACCGTCCCGTCGGGCGGCTGGCCTGAAACGGTCAGCGGACCGCGGTCTGATGTACTCATAGGGCCAGTGAGACGCCCTGTCTCCTGGCTTGTTCTCATGTTTGCAGGGGTGTGGTTTTGCTATATCAGTTGTGGGGATGGGACTGAGCAGAACTAGTCGCTAAGTATACCCATTAATACATTGCAAGCATGTTTTACTCGGTTTTGAACCACTTTTCGCCCCAAGTTTTGAGGTGGGGTGGACGACCCCACATCTGAACAGGAACCCCGGATGTTGGCCTGACCCATCCCACGCCGGTGTGCTGGCGTCATTTGTGCCCGCTGGGATACGTTCGGCGACTGTGAGCCCGGCCGACCTCGGACCGGTAGTTGACGAGGGGGCGCGTGCGGCACCGCTCAGCTTAGATACCGCGGCGAAGAAGGCCGTGCGCTGCTCTTCTGGTGGCGGTCCGTCTGTGGGCTTCTCCGTCGCCGTGTACGCGATATGTCGGCACGGTCGCCGTTGTAGGTGTACGGGAGTGGACGCGGCGCCGGCATGCGCCACAGGGTCGGGTCCCGCAGGGCCGGGTGGTCGTGCTGTGCCTTCTCGCCATGTGATGCCGAACGCTTCCACCGCTCGCCGGGGCCAGTTTGTCGCCGGGCCGACGTCTCTAAACATTTCCTGTGACCTTTAGTTTGGTCTTGACCAGTTTGCCGCACGGAGCTGCCTGATTTTATTATGTGGATATCCGATTGCGCGTCGTATAATGTCGTGGGTCCTCACGCCCGGTGTCAGCTGTTTCTGTCTAAGACTGATCGGTCTCGCAGGGGACGACTTCAGCATAATCCAGCAGGAGATACTGATGATGAAGGATTGCCGGCATGCTAACATCGTCGCCTACTTCGGCTCCTACCTGCGACGCGACAAGCTGTGGATCTGTATGGAGTATTGCGGGGGCGGCTCGCTGCAAGATATCTATCATAGTAAGTATTTTTTGGTACTGCTTATGCTATCTCCCTTTTCAAGTGTATCTTTACCGTCATCGATTCTCGGTTCAGCTGTTCTCCCGTGTTATTTATTGTGCTTTATACGCTTATACGTTTTATACGCTACGATTTATTAACCTTGCCGCATCACCGCTTCTTTCCCGTGGGCGCCAAATGACCACCGCAGTCGACGCGCCCGTAAACTACAATTAACAACAACAACTCTTCTCTCCGTGTTACTTTCCTGCTGGTACTAGTTCGCACATCAGAGGATGATGCGATGTTACGAAATGAGTGAGTGTCTTACAAGTCTCTAATTACTCCTATTTCTATCCTCGGTGCTCGTGAAAACCACGAGCCTAGCGCCGTAGCCGGCTGCAGGTGTCTGAGACGTGTCGAGGGCCGTGACCAGCGGCCACGGGTGTCTGGGACGTGTCGAGGACCTTGACCAGCGGTCGCGGGTGTCTGGGGCGTGTCGATGGCCTTGGCCAGCGGCCGCGGGTGTCTGGGGCGTGTCGAGGACCTTGACCAGCGGCCGCGGGTGTCTGGTGCGTGTCGAGGGTCTTGACCAGCGGTCGCGGGTGTCTGAGACGTGTCGAGGGCCGTGACCAGCGGTCGCGGGTGTCTGGAGCGTGTCGGGGGCCTTGACCAGCGGCCGCGTCTGTTGCAGTCACGGGTCCGCTGACGGAGCCACAGATCGCGTGCGTGTGTCGAGAGACACTGCGCGGCCTCTCCTACCTCCACACCATGGGCAAGATGCACAGGGACGTCAAGGTAAACGGTCCGGGCAGGCGGGCGTTCGGTCCAGGCTCTAGACCCTGACCCTTGTGTGGAAAGAAGGCCGGGATGCGTGTGGTGCGTGATTGGACGGCTGTTCTGCCTTGGCCCGTGCTGCAACGAGGTGTTTGGCTCACCACATAGTGGTCTAGCAGCCCTTGAATTGGTTGACAGACTTACGGCCATTGCCTGCCAGCCTGGAGATGCTGATGATTCGCGGCGAACAGGGGACATATCCACGGTTACTCAAGATATGGGAATATTGATCACAGTTGGTGATGACGGCGTCCGCATATTTCTTTATTTTTTGTGTTTTTAGAAACGCACATGCAACAGTTGATGGACGTGCTAAATGCTTATAATGCTTTTATGAGCATAATACTATATGACTATTAGTTATGTAAATGGTACATCACAAGGGGAGTACAAAAAATAAGTGCTCATGCTTGTATGGTGTTATGAGTACTTGTGCGCTAGTAAGCAAGCAGGGTCGAATGGCAGACAGTGGACATACCCATATTTTGCTGCCATCTTCGTGAGCATGCCAATCAGCTTTCACGTATGGCTATGGTCAACAGGCAACATTTCGACATACTAAAGCTCAAATTATTCGTCTTATGACATGGATGATAGATCGATAAAAGGGGAAAACAGCGAGGCGCGGCGCTCCCGTATCGAGCAGTTATGACTTCACTCTTGTGAGCCCTGCGGTGGCGACTCTCGCGCGAAAAAGGTTCTCTTAATATTGAGTCAGCGCAACCATAACCCCCAACCCGTCATTCTGTGGACGCTTTGCTTTTGCCGAGCATTGCAAAATACTCCCTTCCCATCGGCATTTGCAAGCCAGTTGCCGAGGGTGCCGCGGTGCCGCGGTGTACCGATGTCGGCCGGCCTGCGCGGCGCCGGGCGGACAGTGACGGGCCGTGCGGCCGCCGCCAGGGCGCCAACATCCTGCTGACGGAGAGCGGCGGCGTGAAGCTGGCCGACTTCGGCGTCTCGGCTCAGATCACGGCCACCATCGGCAAGCGGCAGTCGTTCATCGGCACCCCGTACTGGATGGCGCCAGAGGTGAGGCGGTGGCGGCGGCGGCGGCCGGCGCCCGCCGCCGCCCTGCTCGTCGGGGGTGCTGAGTGACTCGCGCGAGCGGTGGTGGGTGAGCAGGGCAGCATAGGGGAGGTTGTTCCTTGCACACTGAACTGGCTCCAGGTCGATGGATTAGGTTGCAGTAGTTCGCACACATGTCGTCATCCACATGCGTGCGTCTTGTGTGATGCCAGTAGTTTGGGCGCATATATCTTGCTACGCCTCAGGAAGGAGGCCGTGGTCACTTGAAATGAGCTGGGCCTGCCAACATATTTTTTAATGCTATGTTACTGGGAACGAGCAAACATTCGAGTCCCAAAAAGTAGTTGTTTAAACCGCGTCACATTATGAATACCAGAGATGTTGTCGCCTTTGCGCTCTGTCTTCCGTCGTAACAGTATGGACTAAAACGCTGCCATAATTTGAGCAACTTAGGAGTATTCTCCTCCCATTTGACCGTTGCGTTAAAAGCATCACAGCACACAACTAGAACTTCTGTCAGTAATGTGGCATTTACCAAACAGATTACGTGAATACACCTCAACTTCCCGTTTGCTTAACCCGGCACAATTTTTGGTTGGTCCAGTGCCAGAAAATTATGTGCGGGTTTTAATTAACTGCAGAGGCCTCAGCTGCAAGATTTCCAAAAAAGCCATGTGCGTCACCGGTCACTCCACATCGCAGGTGTAGCTCCATCAGTTCTGCCCCCCCCCCCCCCCCCCCCAGCGTTACCACCGCCGCAGCAGCGCTGGTCCGCCGGCTGTGTGATCGAGGTTCGAGGGCGGCTCTGTCGACCCGGACGGGCGTCAGTGGCGGTCTTTGTCATGCGGCGCAGCGCACGGTCGCGTGGGTGTGAAACAATGTCGATGCTGCGCACGAGCCGTCGAGCGGCTGAAGGGAGTGACTAACTGCGGCTGACAAAGGTGGACGAGCCGCCGTGCGGCCCCGCGATCGCCGCTGTCTGTGTGAGTCACGGTCGGGCCTGGTGTCCTCTGGCTGACTGGGCACGGACCTCAGCTTCGTCCGCCCGCCGGCAGGTGGCAGCAGTGGAGCGCAAGGGCGGCTACAACCAGCAGTGTGACGTGTGGGCGGTGGGCATCACGGCCATCGAGCTGGCTGAGCTGCAGCCGCCCATGTTCGACTTGCATCCGATGCGTGCTCTCTTCCTCATGTCTAAGTCAGGCTTCAAGCCGCCCACGCTCAAGGACAAGAACAAGTGGTCACAGACGTTCCACAACTTCGTCAAGGTTGCGCTCACCAAAAACCCCAAGAAACGACCAACAGCAGACCGTTTGTCGCAGGTTTGTATGAAACTGAATGTGTTCCTTGCGCTGTGGGTTCGAGGCTATGTGAGCATGACTGTCTGTTTTCACTTTTGGCTTTGCGAGCAGGTGACATTTCGACGCGGTGAAGCTCAAACTATTCGTCTTATTACCCTGATAGATAAAAAGAAGAAACAGTAAGGTGTGGCGTACCCGAGGAGTCATGCGTGCAGCGTGCAGTCCAGTCAGCCGTCAATCCACGCCCTCGCCTCCAGCCCCCCCCCCCCCCCCATCCCCTACCAGTGCTGTCATCTCTCCGCCGTTGCCGTCACCGGCGCCTTCGAGCGCCGCCGCCAGCAGTGGCGCCATCTCCCGGCTGGGGGTGCCGACGGACCGCGCTCGTCCAGCCGTGTTTACGTGGCTCTGTAAACAGCGGCAGCCGCGGCGCGCCAGGGGCAGTGGGGCGCGGCCGTCCCGGCGGCGCGGCCCGCCCGCCACCTGCGCGGCTCGGCCGGCGGCCATGCTTCCACCCCTCTCTGTGTGTGAAGTGGGCGGTGGTGCTTCGGGTGAGCGGTACCCTCGGCGGACCGATCCGCACTGTGCCTGTGCGCCCGCTGCCTCCCGATCCCCCTTCTAACCCGCGCCCCACTTTGTACGCGTTTCCGATGTCTTGGGGCTTACCATACGGCATACTGTCAGTGTGTTGGGCTGTTCTGCTGGTTCACCCATGTGCAGTTGGGGCGCATACTGCAGTGGTGGGGGGACGGTCCCCTGTGCGAGTGAATGTGTCCCTGCGAGGCCCCGTGCTGCGTCCCCACTGTACTGTCGTGACCGTGAAGCGGTGACTGACGGGCTCGCCGAGCACCCCCGTCGCCGTCTGCGCCGACCCGCTCTGACCGCCTCCCTGCCGGTGGCCAGCACGCGTTCGTGCAGGGCGAGCCGGGACCGGGTGAGCGGCGGCTGATGCGGGAGCTGCTGGACAAGGTGCGCAACCCGAGCGGCACCTTCCAGGAGCCGGAGCCCGACGAGGAGGGGGTGAGTGGCGACTCGGGCGGCCGCACCGCTGGGGAGGCATAGACTGGGACGCCGCCGGGGAGGGACAGACGGAGATGTCGCGGGAGGGAAAGGAGGGGACGCCGCCGGGAAGGCATAGACAGAGATGCTGCCGAGGGGGGATAGATGGGGACGCCGCTAGTGGAACGGGGGGGGGGGGAGAGGGACAGACGGAGACGCCGCTCGGGAGACATAGACGAAGACGCCGCCGGGGAGGAGCAGATGGGGCGCCGCCAGGAGGGACAGACGGGACGCCGCCGGAATGGACAGACCGGGCGCCGCCGGGGGGGGGGGGAGGGACAGACGGAGACGCCGCCGGGGAAGGACAGACGGATGCGTCGCCGGGGAGGGACAGACGGAGACGTCGCCGGGGAGGGACAGACGGGGCGCTGCCGAGAGGGACATACGGAGACGTCGCCGGCAAGGGACAGACGGAGACGTCGCCGGCGAGGGACATACGGAGACGCCGCCGGCAGGGGACAGACGGAGACGTCGCCGGGGAGGGACAGACGGGGCGCTGCCGAGAGGGACATACGGAGACGTCGCCGGCAAGGGACATACGGAGACGTCGCCGGCAAGGGACAGACGGGGGCTGCCCGAGAGGGACATACGGAGACGTCGCCGGCAAGGGACATACGGAGACGCCGCCGGCGAGGGACAGACGGGGCGCTGCCGAGAGGGACATACGGAGACGTCGCCGGCAAGGGACATACGGAGACGTCGCCGGCAAGGGACAGGACAGACGGGGCGCTGCCGGCGAGAGGACATACGGAGACGTCCGCCGGCAATGGACATACGGAGACGTCGCGGCGGCAAGGGACATACGGAGACGCCGCCGGCAGGGGGACAGACGGGAGCGTCCGCCGGCAGGGGACAGACGGGCGCGGCTGGCGGGCGCCTCAGCCGCAGACCGCGCCGGGGACCGATGGGCTCCGGTGTCAGCTGGCGGCTGCGGACTGCAGGAGATCTTTGGCGCGGCGTGCGATGCGATCGTGGGGTGTCGCAGCAGCCAGTATGAGCTGGCGGCCGTGTTATGTGGGGCTCTCGAGTTGACGTTACCAGAGGCTGACTAGAAACATTTTCGCGCGCCGTGTTTACCTGATGCAGCGTCGGCAGCAGCTGCTTTGTGGTTTCCGCCGCGCGCTACCGCTGACTGCTGGTTGCAGGCGGTGAACAACGTCCCACACAGGATAGCGTCGCGGCAGCCGGCTACCAAGCAACGCACGGAGTCGGAGCTGCACAGTGAGTGGTCGCCGCCGCCCGGTCCCACTGAGTGACGCTCGTGTCCTGAGCGCTGCAGAAACTCTTCAGTGGTGTAACATCGTTTAAGCACGTGGAAATTACACTTGGTGTAATATGTTGCGGTCAGTTCGTTTTCATTTGTCATTGCATTCTCCGTGCATCGCAATGCTAGTCAGCGCCGTGGGCATCCATTACGATGGTGTAATTTGCATCGCTGGACCTACGCCGTAAATGAAGCGGTTGATCGTCGACATCCACTCGCCACGTAACCCTTGGAGACTTGGGTGGCCATGACCATGACCTTGACAATGACCATGACCACGACCATGACCATGGCCATGACCATGACCATGACCATGACCATACGTGAATGACCCTGGACCGGTGCTGTGACCGCCCCTGACCGGCCGTCGCCGTCTCCCGGCAGTGGGCAGCGTGAGTTTCGAGCAGCCGCGCGTGTCCGAGCTGGCCGCCGAGCCGCCGCCGCCCCGCCGCCAGTGGAGGATCGCCGGAGACGCCGTGAGTTGGTGGCCCCCCCCCCCTCCATCCACCATTCACTCGCTCCCGGCCGGGCTCGGCTGAGTCACCTGCCGGGGCTATATGGTGACGCCCGCCTATGGTCCTGTCCTGTCAGGAAGGCCGGGCACTGCGGGGGATCGCAGTGTGGTGACGTCCTGGTTTGTTGCGCTCAGTTTGGAATGCAATTAGACCTGTCGCGGCTTCATTTCGCAGCGAGTTTTGCTTTGGGTACTTGTTTCTGTGTGCTGCTGGCTGGGCTCTGTGCCCAAGACGTGTGGTCACCGCCAGGCCCGACTTGGCAGTGTATTTTGACCCCCGTGTCCACACCTGGTGCCGTAAGGGACATTGGGGCATGTACGCGAATGACTACTTATCGGGAATGCACCGAGAGGCTCAGATCTCCCCTTGTGCTATGGGCGTGCGTACTTGTCCCGACTGAAATAATTGTCGGCCAGGAGGCCGCTCGTTGCGTGACGCTGTGACCCCAGGGCCGTAACACCGACCCCTGACCCCCGAGCACCCGGCCCCTGGCCCCTGACACCTGGCCTCTGACCCCTGCCGCCCGGACCGCCGCCAGGACGAGGCTGAGGACGAGGACGAGGACGAGCCGGAGGAGGGCGGTAGCGACGCGGTGGCGCGCGACTCCGACACAGAGCCGAGCGACCGGTGAGTGACGCGGCGCGGCGGGACCGCTGCCCCTCCCCACTTACCCCACCGCTGCCGCACGGTCCGGCGGCGCAGCTTCTGCTGACCGTGACGCGTGCAGGCACGGTTTGCCTGGGAGTCCCGCTCCCCGCTGGCGTTGTCCCCATGTCATCGACTGATGATGTGACGCGTATTAGTTTTGAAGGCATCACACTCCGGGGGACTCCTGGCAGCCGCATGCGGAGCCCTGGGTCAGCTGCTGCGCACCTCGGCGCCCAGGGCCGGCCGTCGGGCGGCTCTGCGCCTGCCCGGCCTCCGTGACGCGCCTGAAACGCTGCCGGGAGACCCTGGCCGGGGGCCGGGCCGGCCTGTCCAACCGCAGTCCAGACCGGCGGCGGGCGGGCTGGGCAGCCACGTGGCCGGGCGGACGGCGCGGGACAGCGTGCAGTGCAGCGGGGACGGCCGAGCCGAGACTGGGCACGGCACTCCGCGGCCGGGCGGACGGCGCGGGACAAGCGTGCAGTGCAGCGGGGACGGCCGAGCCGAGACTGGGCACGGCCCGCCGCGGCCGGCCGGCCGCAGATCGGCCCAGAGCTGCCGCCGCCCGCCCGCTGGGTCCGCTGCTTTCAGCGCGGGTGCAGCGCCGGCGTCGACAGACACCCAGCCGTAGACGCGGTCGGGGCAGCTTACCATCACGGCTGGGTGACGGCCGCAGACCGGCTTCCGTGCCGGTCCCGAGCGCTGGCCGGTGGGCAGGGGTTTCGGCGGAGCCGCGCGTGCCGCCGCCCTCGCAGCCGTCTCAGGCGCCCGCTGTGTGACCTAATACACAGACCGCTGCCAGACCGGGGGCGGCGCCCTCCGGCCTGTTTGATGCTGCTCAAGCTGCTTGTTCAGCTCGCTGGAGTGCAGCGCTCACATCACGTTTATTTACTAACCCGGGGCAGAGCGACTTTGAAGAAGGGCTCGTGTATATATTTAAACGTGTGCCGCATGACTAACGCGTAGCTCGTCGGAACAGCAGCAGTGGCGGATGGGACCTTTCGAAATATTTTTCTGAGCCACACGTGCAGCGTCCTAGGAGCCAAGTAATCGCAATAACGGTGAACTGTGCGCACACAAGCATTCATTTGCAGCCATTATTCGTTGCCTCAAAATAAAGGCAACGTGATGTGGCTGAATGTTTCACCTAATTAGTATAAGTAGTACCTAATGCGAGGCGCCGGTGTAACTAATGCAATGGTAAGTGGTTTAGGCTACAGGCACTGTCGTTAACTTTATCAACATTGTCATACTTGGCAAAGTAGAGATTCACTAGTAGTTATCACATTCAGGCTACCGTTGTCGTGCAGGTTGGTGGCATTGACGTTCCTAGCCTCCAGCTTTGCGCAGGAGTTCGTCGGCGCCCCGTCGCCACGGCCGCGATCGCCGCCGCGTCGGACATTGCGCGCCGCCGGCGGCAGCGGCTCCGGCAGCGAGCCGAGCCGGCGCCCGGCAGCTAACGAGCCACTGCTCCCGCAGCCCGGCCGCCGCCAATCACACGCTAGGCTACAGGCAGAGCGACGGCGGCGGCGGCGGCGGCGGCACGCTCACGCGCAGCCGTAGTCTGACGCGGCACGAGCCGCTCGGCCGCCGCCTGCACAGGGCCGCCCTGTCCGGCGCCGACGTGCTCAACCTATCGCTCAAGTACGTACGTCCGCCGGTGCGGCCACGTGGCCGGCGGCGGCGGCGACGGCGGCGGCAGCGGCGGTAGCGGCGCGCCTCGCTTGGTGGCGGTACCGCGCGGGGAGGCTCTTGCTGCGCTGGGCATCGCGGTCGGGAGCGGGCGCTCGGTGGAGGGGGCTGGCCGGTGGCACGACCGAGGACGGCGTGGGTATGGCAGTCCCGCCTGCGATGAACATGGACATTTGAAGATAATTGGACAGCAGGTTGAAATAAGCTACGCTGTGGAAATCGCGCCAGACATTCCGATGACTGTTGTCGCGGAATGTGAGAGGTAACTAAAAGGCATCAAAGTGGGCGACACTTGAAAAGCCGGCTAATCGGTATCATTTTAGCAATGCCTGGCGTTTTTCGGTCACGATTCGAATGGCGTGTTTTGCCGTCAGCTGACACGGCAGAGTTGCCGGTTGCGGCGCGATCCTTGCGCTGCGACGACGCAGGGGTGGCCGACCTCCGAGCCGGTCGGCGAACTCCGCATGCCGCGTGCCCAGCCGCAGCCGAGCCGGGCGTGGTGCGTCCCGCGCCGCTCGGCCGGTGGCCGCCGCCGGCCGCCCGCTGTAGAGCCGTAGACGGTGCATGCCGACTGGACTGGCGCGCGCATCGGGCTGCAGCGGCGGCCCGCCGGGCCTGCACTGAGCTGATGGCAGGCCGCGGGCCACAGTTGTCCAATAACCTAACATCCGTTCGTGTCGGGAACAATTCCCGACCGGATGGGAGACTGTTTGCGGTTGTTAGTGGGATGCGGAGAATCCGATCAGGATGGTGCAGTAGTCTGCTTCATGTGAGTCTGTGAGCGCGTTGCCTGTTGGCCATTGCTCTGGCTGTTTCGGTAGTTGAGATCTGTGTTGGTAGATCTGTGCATATTGCTGAGCCTGGTATGTTAGTTCAGTCGGAGGTGGCATGTGTGCACGGTCATAGACTGGGTCTACCGGGCCGCTTTGCCTGCTACAAAGCCTCAGAGTGGTGTACTCAGCTCCTGTCGGCTGGGGAGATGCGCCTGTCCACAGGAGTGGTAACTGACCGTGAAGTGGCTAAAGTCTTGAAAAAAACTCGCGTGTGGCAGCCACACGCGACCATTTATGGATCAAGACCCCCGGTCTGGACTTGCCTCGTTTCCGAAAATTAATTTTCCGTGGAGCCATCCACTGGCTGTGAACCGAATCACGCCGGTGGCCAGGCTATATACTCCCCGGATGGGGAGCCATCGATTCATGGATTACCGATGGCGATGGCCGGTCGGCCGATGCGACCCCGGGGCGGCCGGCCCGCCGGCTCGGCCGCTGCCCTGGCACGCCGCCGGCCCGCAGCCCGTAAAGCCTGCCGCTGCTGCCGGCCGCGGCTGGCGTGGTGTCGGAGCCGGCCGCTCGCGGGTCGCCCGAGAGCGCGCGGCGAGCGTCGCCGAGCTGCCGCCACCCCGTCAAAGTTCCCTTCTGTCGGCAGGAGCTTGTTGCAATACATAGACGACGAGTTGCCGTGCAGGTAACTGCCGCCTGTCGCGCATGGCGTGTCCCGTAGCGAGCTACCGCCGTCTGGGCAGGCCCCGCCCGCTGTGAATGCCGCTTGCCTGCATCCGCCCGCCGCCCGCGACCGCCGGAGCCGGACTAACCCGGCCGGCAGCGCCGCGGGCTAGCCGACCTGTGTGGAGCCACCGCCCGGGACGCGGCAGGCGCTGTCTGTCCCCGTCCGCTCGGTGTCGGTGACGTGCCCCACCCGCGCACTAACCCGGCCCTCTGCGGCAGGAGCCCGGCCGCCCGGTCCGCCGAGACGCCGCTCGACATATCGCAACAGTGAGTGAGCCCCTCCCCCCTCCCTCCCGCCGCCCGCTAACCTGCCGCTGGGCGCTCCTGCGGTAACCGGGGCCCAGTGTCCTGAGCCGAAGCTGGGACCCTGCGCACCTATCAAATCGAGCAGTGCTAGCGTGCGGACCGGAAATAGCAAACGGCAATTTTAGTTCCTGGTGCTTTCGATTCGTAACGCTGACGTGAGTAGCGGCTGTAAGTCAAACCAAGCTGTTAGAGGCACTTATTCTAATACGGTTTGATTCGAAAGTGCGCTTGTTCATAGCTTCGTTTTGTGGGACTGGATCCTCAAATCTCTACGATTTTTGCTTAATTGTTGGCGTTTGCGCTGCTTTTGTTAGTGCCGTTTTGCGCCGATGGTAGGGCGTTGGTGAAGTTCGTTTTCAGATGACCCAGTTTCCTCCCAACGACAGCGTCCCGGAAGTACGAAGATGAGGCAGTTCCATCCCGTGTTTTCAGTTACTGCTGTCATGCCACGGCCGCAAAGCCCGTACAAATTGCGCGTTATTGTATCTGCTGCGTAGCACTCGCAGGCACATGGCCATTCCAGATGTATCAGCTGACTGTGCGTTGTCGGCTTCATGGTCTCGATAGTGGACACACAGATGGGGTGCCCATTTGCTGGCCTTGTAACGCTGGCAGCGCTCTTGCTTGCTGGTCAGTCCAGCAGCGAAGTGGTGCGTTAAGTGGCTGCCATTCCTATGAGTAATTGAGTAATGGATTATGCCAATGCAGTTTTGTGGCACAGGTAGTTTTCACGTACGGTGCGGATGTGCCCTTGTGGCACCTGCGCCGCCCCGCTCTTGCCATTGCCTGTATGGCGACTGGCCGGCAGGGCATTTGCGGGTCCAGTGGTGCATTTGGGGCTTTATTTGGTGGAATAATGCGGGCTGTTGATGTATCGAAATTGCCAGTCGACGGTTTTTTACGTATCTGACACTATAATCCACCGTTTCTGTAATCCATTCGCCGCCTGGTGGCTTGAAGGAGCGACTGTAATGCCGTTAAGTGGCCTTGGTGGAGTGAATGGTGTGCGATCTATTCGTCTTTGCATACCATGCGATAGACGTGGGAAGAGGCAGGGCAGCAATATCATGGTAACCGTTGTGTGTAATGGCAGGAGTTTGGTGCATCGATCTTTGCTCAGGTCACCGCGAGGTGCGCGCACCCGTATGCTTGCCAGCGCATGTGCGGCCATTTGAACGTGCCGGCTACCGTATCAGCATGTGGATGACACATGACGTACATCGTGCGGATGCGGTGTCGGCAGGGCTACGCTGACGGTGGAGGAGTCGCGCACAGCCCGCGAACTGGCGTCCGCCGGCCAGAAGGAGGCTAAGGCACGCTCACCAGGTCAGTGGCACGCTCGCCAGGTCAGTGGCACGCCTACCAGGTCAGTGGCACGCTCATCAGGTCAGTTACACGCTTACTAGGTCAGTGGCACGCTCACCAGGTCAGTGCCACGCTCACCAGGTCAGTGGGACGCTCATCAGGTCAATGGGGCGCTCACCAGGTCAGTGGGACGTTCATTAGGTCAGTGGCACGCTCACCAGTCCAGTGGGACACTCACCAGGTCCGTGGCACGCTCACCAGGTCAGTGGCGCGTTCACCAGGTTAATGGGACGCTCACCAGGTCAATGGAACGCTCATCAGGTCAGCGGGTGCTCACCTAATGGGTGCTCGCTATCTCAGTGGAACACTCAAACATCACTGCGGCTCTCTCACTGGGTGCGGTGGCCACCCATTACACAAATGTGACGATGTCGCTCTCTTCTGTGGGGCGGCCTCCGTCGCTCGGTGGAGAGCGGGCTGTATCGGCCCCCCAGCAGCTCCGCCTCGCGCGGCGCTGTCCGGTCAACCCAGTCTCGACCGCCCCCGGCGTCCGCTTGTTCGCTTGTTGACAGTTCATCAGCGGCTTATTCGCGTGGGCTGTCGTTGGCAGCGTGCCGGCCGCCGGCGGAGCCGACTGAGAGTGCTCGTGTGGGCCGGCCATGTGCCGCGGGCCAGTGCGCGCTGGCCGCTCGCCCCGGTGGTCGGCTGCTGCCGCTGGCCCCGCGGCGGCAGCGGTGACCGCCAGCGGTAGCCTGGCGGGCTCGCCACGCGCACCGCCGTCCCGTGGGACCGGCCCGGCACGCGCGGTCGGCGCCCGGCTCGGGCACCTGCTCATGGTCTGTGCGGCCGGGGTCGAAGCGCCGATACATTGTTAAAGCAAATGCGCGGTTCGTTAGTTACCTTGCGTGGCCTCGGGGGGTCCCAGGGTGTCCGATGGTTTGTATCGATGGGGCGGCGTGCTGCTGGTTCGTGTGACGATACCGCTAGTGACCGCTTGCTGCCCGGCCGTCGTCTCTCATGTTTTATGTGTGTGCTCCCACGACTGCGGTTGCACCTGTGCATTTCTTTACGATTTGGCGTACGTCACGTTTCTCGCGGCGTGTACGGACGGTGTCAGCGGGGGAGAGAGGACACCCTCATCGATCCGGCCGCCGGGCGTGGTTGCCGTTTGGCGTCGGCCGTGTCGCGGCGGGGCGTGACCCTGGCGGCCGTGCAGACGGCGGCGGGCTTCATGGCGGGTCACCCCTGCAGCCGCCGGGGCGGTAGCCGGCCGCAGCGGCGCCGTGTGTGACCGTCGCCGTCCCTCCGCCGGCAGGATCGGACTCCACGCTCCGGAGACGCCACAGCCTGGCCGGCGAGGACGACCTGGCCGAGCAGACGGGCACCCTGACCCTAGGTCACCGCACCAGGTCACTGTCGGACAGCGAGGCCACCTCCTGTGAGTCCCAGTGGTGGGAGTTGCACGCTGAGCTCAGCTCACTGTACTGCGCTGCAAGCGGCTGGGCCAGTTATAGCTGTCGTGAGCAGCTGCCGTGAGTTGCCGTCGCTTGTCTCGTGACTCCTCCCTCTCTCCATGGCTCTCATTAAGCCTGGGATCGGCCGCTGATCGTCATCACTCGACTCCACGGCCAGCTGTCAGCGCGCGTGTCCCCCCTCCCCCTCCTCCCTGGACTCAGCCCCTGCTCGCACTCCTGCGCTGCGCTGCGACCTTCCTCCAGCTGGTCTGTCGGCGCGTGTCCTCCCTCCCCTCCTCCCTGGACTCCGCCCCTGCTCGCAGTCCTGCGCTGCGCTGCGCTGCGCTGCGGCCCTCCTCCAGCTGGTCTGTCGGCGCGTGCACTCCTTCCCCTCCTCCCTAGACTCCGCCCCTGCTCGCAGTCCTGCGCTGCGCTGCGCTGCGCTGCGCTGCGCTGCGGCCCTCCTCCAGCTGGTCTGTCGGCGCGTGTCCTCCTTCCCCTCCTCCCTGGACTCCGCCCCTGCTCGCACTCCTGCGCTGCGCTGCGCTGCGACCCTCCTTCAGCTGGTCTGTCGGCGCCGGCAGCGACGGCGGCGGTGAACGGGTCGTCGTCGGCGGCGGCGGCAGCGGCGGCCGGCGGCGGCTCGGCTTCGCCCGTGCCGCCGCCGCGCCGCCGCGAGAAGTTCCGCAAGACCACCCCGCCGCGCCCCGTCTCCAACGGCCTGCCGCCCACGCCCAAGGTGCACATGGGCGCCTGCTTCTCAAAGGTCAGTGCTCGTCGCCCGCTCCGGTGTCGCTGGCCGTCCCGATCGCCGTCCGGCCGCCGCGGCGGTGTCGCGTCGGTGGTGGGAGCGCGCGCGCCGCGGGTGGTGCGCGGGGAGTGGAGTGGACTTCCAGCGCGTGCGGTGCGTGGTGAGGCTGGGCGCTGCGGGTGTCTGGAGTAGGCTGATCTGCGGTGGGTGCTTGAAGGCGCTTGTACGCGACACAACCATTGTTAACCATGTCGCTTGGTGGTACTGAAAATGGGACAAATGGTCTTGGGCATTCATCACGAATCGAGTACATTCATCACGAATTTAGTAATGGACACGTCAAGAAATCAATGAGTGCTGCGTGGCGGGAATGGCTTCAAAAGTAATTATTGCAAGCGCTCAGCTCCACATGTATAGAACTTGTATGCTGGAATGTCATCGAACAGCTGTGGTTTGAACACGGGTAGTCGCCAGGTCCGCGCAAGAGCAATTCCTCTGTTCACGGCACGTTATGAGTTGTGTGGGCTTTCGTGTGTCCAGCGTGATGTTCTGTCTCCATGCTCCAATCGATCGGGACTTGTCCCCCGCACCGGCCGTTCCGCGTCTTCTGAGTGTACTGGATGTTCCTGGCTCGATCTGTCGTGGTTTGGTCACGTGCGAAACTCGCACGCTGCACCCAGCACCCCAAACTGTCCCACGGCCCCCGCATGTGGTTGCCGCGGGCCCCACCGCCGCCGGGCAGTGGCGCCGGCGGGGGACGGGGGCGAGGGGAGTCGGGCCGTCACATCCCCATTGTGGTCGGGCCGTCACACCCGCGTTGTGCGGCTTTCAGAAGTGGTCAGTGCCGCACCGACCACTGTGTCGCACCAACGCCGTGCTGCATGGTATTGGTACTGCACGACTATGGTATTAACACCGTGTTGCACCGACTCTGTGTCGTACCAGTACCGTTTCGCACAGACTGTGTCGTACTAACACCGCGTCGCACCGACTCTGCGTCGTACCAACACCGTGTTTCCCTAACTCGATGTTGTGCCAACGCCGTGTCGCGCCAACTCCGTGTCGTACCCACACCATGTCGTGCTGGCCCCGTGTCACACGAGCGCGCCTGCCTTACCGTCCCGCCGCCGGCAGGTGTTCAACGGTTGCCCGCTGCACATCACGTGCACGACCACCTGGGTGCACCCGCTGACGCACGACCAGCACATCCTGGTGGGCGCGCTGGAGGGCATCTACACGCTCAACCTCAACCAGCTGCACGAGGCCACCATGGAGCAGCTGTTCAACCGGCGCACCACCTGGATGGTGGTAGTGAAGGACGTGCTGATGAGCGTGTCAGGTGGGTGGCGGGGCGCGCGCCCAGGCCGGGTCGGGTCGGGCCGCAGCCTGAAGGGTCGAGCGCGCACGTGACAGCGGCGGGTCAGCCGCCCTGAGCGGCGGCCGGGAGGGCTCCAGCGGCTGGTGGAGGGGCGCGTGTAGCGTGCTGTGGGACCGTGTCGGACCCTGCGGCGGTGGGCGGTGCTTGAGTCGGGTGGAGTCGAGCTGGGTGGAAGCCCTCCACATGGACTGGATGTCAGCAGACTAGCGTGTGTACGGGATAGCGCTCGATCTGCACGTGTTCCATGAGTGGGGGGTGACTGGTTTGCGTGTGTTGGTGTGGTGTCCCACGGGCTGGCGAAGCAGTGAGTCTAATGCAGAAGCGGTTTGTTTGACGTAGTGGATTTTGAATCGGTGTCGACGCCGTACCGTTGGCTGTGTTAACAGCAGATATGCTGGTGACATTGGTTTCTTCAAACAGGTCTGAAAAACCCGTGCCTCTATCGACACGATCTGTTGGCTTTGCACTCAAGGCAATTCAACAGATTTTCGTTGAACGTGAACAAGATACCGGAAAAGCTCGTTCCTAGAAAGTATGCCATGACGACTAAGGTGCGGCGGGTGGAAGCCCGGGATGGCTGCGACAGACGTTGCCCGGTTTGTGTACCTGGCCTTTTCTTGTGGGCTTCAAACAACGGAGGTATCTGGCGAAAATAGCATTGATGAAGTCTGTGTATGCAGCCGAGTAACAAATGTGAAGCCCTGTTATCGTTAACGTCTGTGATGCATTCACTGATTTCCTCGTCGTAGTGATTGATGGAAGCACATGTACTCAAAAGCTGTGGGACTTTTCATTCATTCGCAAATTTTCAGTGTTTCGTTATAGCTTTGCTTTTAACAAATCACGCCCAACAGGATTTTAGCATATGCTAAATGAACGTGCATCATTAGGCCGTGTAGATGAGGGAAGATCCGATTTTATCACTGCAGTTTAATTAATTACCTATGTGTTTTTCGTTTATACCTTAATTTTTAATCAAACTTGAACCCATCAATTGATTCTGATCATTGCAGTTTAATTAGTTCAGCAGTTGTAAAGTCACACGTGCTGCATGGGCGGTATCATCCTTTCCGCTCCACACCCAGTCTCGCTGGATCACCTTCCTCGTCCCGTGTCCTCTCCACTCCGTCATCTGTGGGCCGCCGGTGCTCAGGCGCCTCCCGTGGACCGGGCGGTGGGTGTTCTCCGTTGTATTGGCCTCCGCCACTGCTGCTGACCCGACACCGCCCCCTGGCCAGGTGCCCGACACCAAGGGCTGTGAGCGCTGTTGTATGGGCCGTAACCCCTACAACGGCTACAAGTACCTGTGCGGCGCCGTGCCCTCCGGCATCTTCCTCATGCAGTGGTACGACCCGCTCAACAAGTTCCTCTTGCTCAAGGTGAGGTAGCAAAGCGACCGTTTTGACAAAATGAATGACATACATTCCTTATATGTATATATGTATATATGCATGTGCGTGTGTGTGTGCGCGTGCGTGCGCACGTGCGTACGTACCTGCGTGCGTGCGTGCGTGCGTGGGTGTGTATACAATATTTATGTTACACCAGACGAACAGTTTGATCTGTTGCATTTTTTTTGGATGCTTTCTTCTTGTTACGCAAAGCCACCCGGTTTGGCCGGGTGTTGGGGGACTGGGCCATGCCCCATCAGTGCGATGGCGCCGTGCCCGGCTGGTGTCCGGCAGCCGGTGGTGAGCCCCGAGCCGTCGGAGGTGCCCAGCCGGCGCCCTGGCCCGCAGGGCGCCGGTCACCGGCGCTAACGCGGCATCTCTCTGCGCCGCAGCACCACGAGTGCTACGTGCCGGGCGAGCTGCGCGTGTTCGAGATGGTCATCACGCCGGACCTGGAGTACCCGCTCATCTGCGTGGACGTGCGGCGCGGCTACGAGTCAGATGCGCTGCAGCTAGACATGATCAACCTGGTGAGGCGCTCCCCTCCCCCCCCCCCCTCCCCTGCCCCTCTCTCCCCTCCCAGAAGACGCCTTGGACCGCGGTGGTTTGACAGCTAGGCGGTCAGCGTTATTTATTCGGGCGGGGGGGGGGGGGGAGATTTGTTATCGGCTTTACCGTGAACGGTACATTTCAACACTCCTTCAATCGTGCTTTATAAGTGTTCAGTAAACGTGGATCGACGCAATCTTCATTTGTGAGTCTTGGCGTTCATGGTTGGCGTTATCGCAATACGTTGCGGATAGTCGTATCAGGTTTGCATTTGGTTGCCAGCGATGTCGTATCTGTTTGTTCATGGTCGGCTGAGGTGTACCGGCGTCTTCCGCAGGTGATAGCTGTGCCCACATCTCTGATAGTCGTACTCATTCCGTGTGCCTGCTGCACGAACGGCGAGGGGGCGTGGTTGTAAATTCTGGTTCCGCGTCCGCGCGCCTTCCGACACGGCTGTGTTTCCGTGTGTTATGCCGTGCAGTATCCGCACGGCGTCATTGCGCCGCGCCCAGCGCTGCTCGCTGTGTCACATCGCGTTCGTGTTCTCCGGGGCGGGACGCGCGCTGCACCTCGCGGTCCCTTCTGGGCGCCGGCGCGTCTCTGCCCATGCCGTGTCCTCTGGACGTCGGCGCCTCCCGCGCGGCGCGTTGCTCGCCGCTGGGGTCGGGCTCAGGCGGGCTGCGTGGTCTTGCGCACGTTGTCTCCATTAAGTGCACACGTGTTGTCCGATAGTGATGCAGCCATCCCTGCATCCCACACAGTGCAGCTGCACTTTTGTATAAATTCGATCCGTTTTTTTGAATGGATAGATTTCTGGGATCAGCGCTCACGCTAATCAGTGCTTGTATTGTGAGCCCTAAGCCCCACCATCCGATCGCGCAGTTCCAGGCAACGACAGAATTTAGTTGCGAAAGCTTAACGCGCCGCAATGCTCGGCACGGTCCGTCCCGCCCTCTGACGTCAACTGACCTTCAGCGCGACCGCTGCCACCGGCCGCAGGCCATACCTGCCAAGGGCAAATAGCGAGCGTCCTAAAGCGACTCGAACCCACCCTGCCAGGGGTGGATGGATCGGAATGCAGGCGCTCTAACCAACTGAGCCACCGGGACGAACTGTCCTTTACTGTCCTTTACTGTCCTGCACTGACCTGTCCTTTACGGACGTTCAGCCGCCCCGCCGTGCGGCAGAACCGTGTGGTGCTGATGTGTCGTCCCGTTGTATGGCCGTGCGCCACGTGCTGTTGTGTCGTTCTGCCGCACCGCCGTGCTGTGGTGTGCTGCTGTGTCGTTCTGCCGCACCGCCGTGCCGTGGTGTGCTGCTGCGTCGTTCTTCCGCACCGCCGTGCTGTGGTGTGCTGCTGTGTCGTCCTGTCGTATCGCCGTGCTGTGATGTGCTGCTGTGTCGTCCCGTCGTATCGTCGTGTTGTGATGTGCTGCTGTGTCGTCCTGCCATGCGGCCTTGTTGTAGTGTGCTGCTTTGTCTTTCTACCACACCGTCGTGCTGTGGTGTGGTGCCTCGTCGTCCTGGACTGTTTCACTGGTGTGCGGCTGCATGGCTGTGCTGCATGTCTCAGTTCCGCTTACCTGTACGCCCTTGGCGGCCAGAACACGGCCAGCTCATGGTTCCCGGGCTGCGAGTTGGAGGACATGGACGGCACAGCGACGGTGGTGGCGCGCCACGAGCGGCTGGCCGTGCGCGCCGTCACCCAGCTGGAGCGCGATGCCGTGCTCGTGGCGTACGATAACGTCGTCCAGGTAGGCTGTCGTCGACCGCCCTCCGTCCCACCGTGCCGCCCCTCTTCGCCCCGCGCCGCCGTCTCCGCTCCGTACGCGCGGCACGACACCTGGGGAATCGACAGGTGAGGTGGGCCCACTTCACGGTGCGGACGGGGACCGGGCGCCGGGCGGGCTCGGCCGGGCGCCGCTGCCGCCGCTAGCCGGTCTCCGGTGGTGAGACTGGTGAGGTACGCTGCAGGCTGGTGCCGATGGATCGAAACTGTGGGCTCGGTCGACCTCCTCTGGCGTGGCTGCAGGTTTCATACGTCGTCCCGTCCGCGACGGTGGATTTGGCCCGTCGGAGCCCTTGTCAGCATGCATTGATCCCGCACTTTGAAGTATCCTTGTAATGCATGTGAAGCCCGCTGGCTAATCCCACATTCGTTGTCATACCCATCGCGAATTCCTTTGCCTGTTGTAACTCGCCGTTTTGATATCAAAATGCGGCTAGAATTAGACCCGTTTCTCCGGCTTCGGTACGACACCGCCGAACTGCGGGCAAGTGGGGCTCGCTCACACCGCCGGCTGTCTGTGTCTGTAGCTGTCTGTGGGCGCGCTCGGACCGCCGGCTGTCTGTGTCTGTAGCTGTCTGTGGGCTCGCTCGGACCGCGATCGTCACGCTGGGCACTGGTGCGGCGGCGTGCGCCGCGGCGTTGCTCTGATCTGGCCAGTCGTCGATAGCTGTCATTGAGCGGAGCGAGGGCGGCCGGCCGCACCAGGGTGCGGCCCAGTCGCCGTGTCGCAGCCGCCCGCCGTCCGGCGCAAGGTGCGCCATCGGCTCCCAGAGCCGGGTCCCCACGTGGAGCGGCCGCACGACGTTACTGTTCCGACCCGGGGACACGTGCGCTGTCGCGCCCAACTGCCTCCGCCCGCGATAAGTGGATGCGGGACGCAGGGACAGACGCGGACCCCGGGGTGCCATGACGCATAAAGCGCCAACGCTGAGTCCGTCTGGACTGGACACCCCCGGCTTGCTTTCCCTTGCGTTGCCGATGGTGCAGACGGCCACCACGGCGTACCACAATACTCAGACATGACGTCACAGCAGTAGGTCGGAGGTAATTGCACAGGCGTGACTATGGTTTACCGTGCGGTGTTTGTGCGCACGCTTGGCGCTTCACTTCACGATTAGCGAGGCCGTGTGTGTCCGCAGGCACCCGGCGTGTCAATGCTCGGTCGATGATGGCATATTTGCGCATGTAATGATGGCCTGGATCGATAAAGCCACGTCATCGCGCCCCCTATCATTGAGGGTTTGTGGGCCTTGTGGCTGTGTTCGTTGTAGATGCGACGATACTGGGTTGTCACCCTGCCTGCCATTGAGGGTTCGGCGACAGAACTTCTGACGCAATTACTGCTAATAACTAAACTCACAACGTGACGTCGAACGCAAGTGCTTCACGCGACATTAGTTGTACGCAACAAAACTTCCAACACAACTTCTACGCGGCATTATTATTGATGCAGGAACTTCTCGTGCATCAATTTCTGTGCGACAAAAATTCTAGCACAGTAATTTGTATGCGTCATTTCTTCTACGCGACCAAACTTTTGACGTGAAAGCTTGTACATGGCATCAGTTGTAATGCAATAAAGTATAACACATAAACTTCCTCGAGACAAAGCTTCCATGCAAAAACCTCTGCACGATATTAGTTCTAATGCAAAAGCTTCTGCTCGATATTACGTCTAATTCAATAACTTATGCATCTGCTTCTATGCGACAAAGCCTTTTTCACAAACATTTCTACGCGTTATTACTTCCACGCGATACAACACGTAACGTCAAAACCATTACACGATATTTCTTCTTATACGGCAACTTTTAACGCGTAAACTTCTATGCGATAACACCTTTAATGCAAAGACGTACACGGCGTCACTTCCAATGCAAGAAATTCCAACGCATAAACTGCTACGCCACAAAACTTTTGGCGCAAAAGCTTCTGATGCGAATGACGTCAACAGGCTCCGATTGCCGGTACGGGGAGTGTTTTCCAATGTCCAGTGTTTTCCAATGTCCAAACCGTAGGCCTTATCACCGACGGAGCTTCCTCGCCTCGTCTGCAGGGCTTGGGCTCCTTTTCCGTACTGAGCTTCTCCGCTCACCACCACCACTAGTCCTGTAATTGGTAGCTCTACCAGTAGGTCAGAACAAGGAATCATCCCTAGGTTGATTCCATCATCGTCTCTGGGGGCCCCAGTGACGCTGCGATCCTCTGACTGACGTGCTGGCTATCGGGACTTGTCCCATTTCGGCTGGCTGCCACGGCCATGATCGGCACCCAATGAGACCTCTGTGCTTAGTGCCGGGGGCCCCTCACCAGCAGAGTAACCCTCCCATTGTCTCAAAACAGCGGCGCCGTTTTGTGATAATAGGTGGAGGAGGGCGGGCATTGAAAAATGACGCAATAATCCTTCAAAATAGTCAACAAACGGGGCTCTCCCCGTACTTGGCGAGAAGAGCCCTGCCAGGGGTACCTTCTCAAAGTTTGTGGTTGTAGTCCAAGTTGGAGGGAGGAGGCGGGGGAGGGCTGGAGCCCATCCAGCTGAACATAAAGCAGCCCCTGTCTCAAGGTTGCCTGAGCAACATACTAGGGTCTGTGGTGGACATTCCTGGACCATTGCCACTTGTATCCGGTCAGTGGGACACCTGGATGATACAGAAACCTCTGTTACGGGGCAGGAGACCCCGTTAAGTAACTCTGGGCCCCCGGGCCTAGAGAGGGACTCCCTTCTTTCCAGCGGCCCCCGAGTGAAGTAAGTGCAGACCCCATTACGGATACGCGGCGCCAACGCCACACATCTGCTTAACGTTCTGGGCGGGCGTTGGCGCGTCTGGGGGCTGATGCAGCGGCAGGCGGCGGCTGAGCGCGCGCCCTCTGTTGCCAGGTGGTGGACTTGCAGGGCAGGCCGACCTCGTCACGACGCCAGATATCGGAGCTGCAATTCGACTTCGCCGTGGAGAGCGTCGGTCAGTGGGGGATGCAGACGGGGCCTGCCAGGTCCTGGCGCTGGGGGGGGGGGGGGGGAGGAGGGGCTGGGGCCGCTCGGGTACTGCTGTGGAGAGCGTCGGTCAGTGGGGCTGCAGACGGGGCCTGCCAGGTCCTGGCGCTGGGGGGCGGGGCAGGAGGGGCTGGGGTCGCTCGGGTACTGCCGTGGAGAGCGTCGGTCAGTGGGGCTGCAGACGGGGCCTGCCAGGTCCTGGCGCTGGGGGGCGGGAGAGGAGGGACTGGGGCCGCTCGGGTACTGCTGCGGAGAGCGTCGGTCAGTGGAGTGGAGCTGCGGACGGGGCCTGCCGGGTCCTGACACTGGGGGAGGAGGGTCTGGGATCGCTCTTGTACTGCCGTGGAGAGCGTCGGTCAGTGGGGCCTGCAGGAGGGGCCCACCAGGTCCTGACGCTGGGGGGGAGGGGAGGGGCTGGGACCGGTCGTGTACGGCCGCGCATTTCCGCTGTCGCCAAGCATGATGCCTGTCCCGAGCGCGTCTGGAGTAATCACGGCGTACGGGCCACTCAGAATAGCACAGGCGTGCCGCACGACTCTGGAGTTGGTCCAGAATGCCGCCAGTTGTGGCTGGTGGCCTTTTTGACCATTTCTTTCAGACCGATGGCAACCTATCGTGTCTGCCCTTTCCAATGCTAATAAGAAGCTCTGTTTTTGGAATTGCGACGTTTTCAGTAGGCACAGGTGTGCGTCTACACTACTGTGCAGCGGTTTCAAAGAACGTGTTACGTGATCAAATCATCGTGGCATCGAGCTAAAAGTATGACGATGCTGGCGATTTTCTGCGCTCTCATTGTGACTGATGCTGTCCCGGACCGTTGGTCCTGCTCCTCCGCGGTGGTCGCTGCCCAAGCGATGTGTCAGATCCGTGTCTCGCACCTGACATGACCTGAAGCCGTCCCTGTGTGATGTGCCGGACCTGACCCGACCCGACCTGACCTGACCGGGTCTGACCTTGTCGGGCAGTGTGTCTGACGGACAGCGTACTGGCGTTCCACAAGCACGGGATGCAGGGGCGCAACTTCGCCAACAACGAGGTCACCCAAGAGATCACCGACCCCAGCCGGGTGTTCCGCCTGCTGGGCAATGACAGGTCGGTCGTCCCTCAGTGCTCTCGTCACCGATCTGCCTGTTACGTCCGTGGGTAGGCGCTGTCAGGTGTCCGATGGTCATGAGAGCTGACCCGACGCACCATGCTGCGCAGCGAGACCACGGACTCGATGCCACTTCACGGAGGCCGATCGCCGAACGCGTGGGGTCTTCTGGGTAAGTCGGCGTGGGGCTGCTATGGGGCGTAAGTTTCATAGCGTTACGGACGAAGAAAACGGGTACGCGGTACATATGGGGAAATGCATTTTTAAAGAAGCGGACCTTCATTTGTTTTCAAAACCATCGTTTTCCGTGTTTTTCGGCCATTCAACAGTGGTGAGTGACGTTTCCGAGCCTGCGCTCGTCAGGAATATGCGCCGCGGGTTATGCACTGGGCGAACGGTAGGATGGATACCGCTGACGTCACACCGAGCCCTTGCTGTCCGGCCGGAGCTGAAGGCATCCGGGGGTTACGTGCAAACGTGCGTGCTGGCGTGCTGCTCACGTGCTTACGTGCGCGTGTGTAGGCAAGCTTCCGGGCGAAACAAGTCGTGCACTGATTCCACATGTCTGGGATGAGTTGTGAGTGCAAAGTCTTCGGTCACTTTCGTTTCTATAAACTGCAAAGCCGTATAAACTTGTCGAATTGACGTCCTGTCCTGGTGGGGCTGTTGTCATGCGCGACACAGAGACACGGTCAGGACGCGGTCCGAACGGTGCAGGATGTTCTGGGACGACTCTTATGAAATTCAAAGATGCGTCATGCACTCGGAAGGTCGCCGTTTTCGTGACCATTGGTGACTCCTCTGATGTACGTCATGATAATTACGCTAATCAGTGTTTATGCATGCCATTGAGTGCATTAGGGGTGATCAGTGTCTTGGTCCTTTAGTCATGTGCGTATTGTGCCCGCGTCTGGGGGAATCAATGCTGGATATCTTATATTCTGCAAACCGGTAGAGTTACTATGAATAACAGCTCTTGGCTTCTTACGTATGATTGAATGAACCCCTCACTACGCCTTGATCAGATGGCAGCCTTGGATAAGCAGCATATTATTCATATTAGGCAGAAAGTGCAGGGACTGTGGTCACGATTAGGGTGTCGTTCACATGGAGAGTTTTGTACTTGTTTGTTTTGCGCAACAGATTTCACTGTACGTTTCGTGCTACTAGAGCTTCAAAATCCTCTTCATTTAGCTGTTACCACTGAAGTATATAAGCGTCCCATATGGCTGGCGAGTCAACGCCTGTTACGCTGCAACATTTACGCGAAAACGAACGCGAAATCGAGTCCGACGCCACCGACCTCTCATCGGTCGCGGTGCACTATTTCAGGTCCTCGTTTCCCGGCGTATCCCGTGTGTACAGTTACCTTAAGTGTCCCGCTGCGTGAAATAGTGTGTGGCGTATGTGTTGTGTCCTGCTGTCTTCAGCGCCACGCGGTGGGATGTGCCGCCATCTGTCCGCCATCTGTGCGGGAAAGCCAGCTTTGTAAGGTGTCCGGTTGCGTGTCCTTTGTGCGGTATCTTGCTGTGTTCGATGCTCTGGGGATGAGCTGTCCTGCTGCGTGAGGTGTTCTCTTGCGTGCGGTGTGCTGCTGCCCGTGTTGTGTCTGGCTGGCTGTCCTCTAGATGTCGTGCCGCGTGTCCTGTCCCATGTGTGGGATGCCCTGCTGTGTGCGATATTCGGTGTGCGCAAAGTATTTTGGTGGGCGCGGTGTCTAGCTGTGTGCGTTGTCCTGCTGGAGGCGGCGCCCCGCTGTGTGCGGGCCCTGCTGTAAACGGTGTCCCGCTTTGTGAAACACCCAGCTGTATGAGGCACCCAGCTGTGTGAGGCACCCAGCTGTGTGAGGCGTCAAGCTGTGTGAGACACCCAGCTGCGCGAAAGGACCAGCCGTGTGAGGCACCCAGCTGCGTGCGACACTCAGCTGTGTGAGGCGCTCAGCTGTGCGCCCTTTGTCGTGTGCGGTGTCCTGCTCTGCTGCTGTCTGGCCGCGGTGACCTGTGCCGGCGGTGACAGGGTGCTGCTAGTATTCAGTCGTTCGTCGGCTGGTGACACGGACGCGCCCGTCAACCTCTACGTGCTCACCGGCCACGAGGAGACGTTCTGACAGGCACACCGCGGCCGACCGTGTGCCGCCGGTACTTGTCTCTGCCGTCCCTCTGCGTGTGTGTGCGCCCACTTTCGCTCTGCGCGCGCCGCTGTTCCGCCTGTAGTCCGCTTGCGGGCCGATGCGCTGACCGCGCCTGACGCTGCCAGCCGGCGCCGCGCGCTGGGCGCCGGGCGACCCGGCCGCCTCCAGCCTGTATGACCGCTGATTACCGGCCGGCCGACCCACCCGTGCTGTCCCCCGCAGGGGCACCGGTTTCAGCCGGTGTAGGGGACTAGCGTCCCCTCGGATCCCAGCTCCGGTAGCGGGTGGACAGCGCAAGCTGGTCATTTCAGGACCTGCCGACCCTGTCTGTACGTGAGCTCCTGCTCCTTGTCGCTCCCCTCCCTCCTCAGCGCCTGTATTCCCGCATCCACTTCTCATTCTCGTTTTATTGGGGTCGCCGTGCCCCCTCACCCGCGTCCCAGCTTGATCGGATCCTGGTGGCTGAGGGGCGCGGCGTGCATGTCAGTCACGGCGCGTCCCAATACTCCCCTTTGGCCAGGATATCCGGGGCACGGGGGCCCGTGGGGCCCCACACGGGTCTAACAGCTCGTCGCTCGCGCCGCGGCTGGGTGTTCCTAGCGCGTCTCCGCTTGTGGTGCCTAGCCGCGCAGTGGCTTAAGGGGTCAAGGGGCGGCGGCGCTGAACCTCGGTCAGGACGGGGAGGGGTCGTCCCGGTTACACCTGGTCGTGTGGGAGGCGCCGTTCGCCCGTATGGCACCGGGGTAGCCCTGGCAGCGACCACCTCTCAAGGGAGTGTTGGACCGTCCCCCAGTTGGGCTCCGAGGTGGGTGGGGAGCCCCGCTGCCGAATGCTTAATAGAAATCGCTTGGCTTATCAAAACTCAACAAACATCCGGCCCCCGAAAGAAGGTCGGACAGCGCAGAGGCCCGCATTCGAGGGGGATTCGGACCGCCCCTGCCCTCGCATTCTGATCTTCTCCAGCCGGGATGTATAGCTTTTTACCCTGTCACCGCTCCAACGACGGAACGGCTGTGACAAGTTCAGAGACATCACGAGATGTGACAAGCTGAGGGATGGCAATATCGAGGCAGAGCTCGCCAGTAGTCTGGAGGCGAAGCGTTTATTAGACGCGAAATAGTCCACTTGTAGTATTCGTGGTGAGAACGGGAAGCATGACAACACCGTAGCTTCGGCAGTAATACCACACAACACAGAAACCCACCTAGAGACGTCGTAAATTGTTTTGACCTTCGTGATGTGAGAGCGAAATCGTCGAGGAGCTTTCGGAATTCGACGCAACCGCCGCGCGCAGTATCCTGGTTAGGAGAGGAGAACTGACGGCCACCAGCAACATCATTCTCACTTTCAATCGTCCAGATCTTCCATCAGATATCCGTGTGGGTTATGCCCGCGTGAAAGTCCCTCCTTTTGTTCCCAACCCAATGCGCTATTTCCATTGTCAACTGTTCGGCCATACGAAACCCCATTGCCGCATTAAGTCAGCGTGCAGCAAGTGTTCGTCCACCACCCACCTGAGTAACCACTGCACCGCTGACCAGCCTTATTGCGTCAACTGCGATAAGGACCAAACACCACACACTGTATTTCACCGTACGTTTCCGGCGTTCGCGGGAGAAAAGTAGATACTTTCACTAAAAACTTCCAAAAGCATATCTTTCTGAGAGGGCAGAGACCGGTATGACGCAAGGCACCCCAAGCTCTCATATGCATCGAGATTAAAAACTGCTTTGCCGCGTAACAACGTCATTGAGCAGATGACGGTCATCCAGCTCGTGGAACTCCTGAAATCGTTTGGTCCCACCGTTGCACCTTCAGCACGTTCAGCACGGACTCCCAGCCGGCGGTCCGAACTCCCTCCTCGCCGGCCGACCAGTCTTAAGTGGACGTTGGCGTCCGGGTTAAGCCCCCCCCCCCTCCCCCCCCCCCCCCGCTTCGTCCTCAGCGCCGGGCCGGTCGGCGCCTGTCATGTTGCCGATTCCCTCGGCGCCGTTGTCTCTTGCCGGAGAGAAGGGTTGGACGGCGGCCCGGCGCGGCCGTGGTCAGCGGGCTCTACCGGCCTCCGCGTCGGTTTCCTTGCCACCTCCGTCCGCCTCCGCTTCGCGTGCCCCACTGCCGTTGTCACCTCCGAAACCACTAGTGAACGCATGCGGGCGGGCGATAGAAACGTTGGAGCGGCACGAGGCGGACAGGCGCGCCCGCAATGCCAAGCGGGCGCCAGGGGAATGGCATAAGCGTTCGACATACAACGAGCATCTTATTCTGCGTGACAGGTGTTTTAACATAATGAACATATTGGAATGCGTGGCACGAACATCCTGCGGAGCAGATCGGAAAGCACCTTTATTGTTATGCAGTTCACTGATACGCTCCTAGCTAAACTATGCGTGTATTGTATATGGTGGCACCTCTGAGTCCGTAAAACGTACATTGGTTGCGGTCACTCATGCCGCGTTGAAGACCATTATTGGTGCATATTGTACGTCTCCGACAGCCAGCTTCCCTGTGGAAGCCAACGAACCTTCGCGGGCTACCCAGAGGAAGTTGTTGGGGATGCGGTAGGCTTGCAGGCCCGCACAATTCCCGAATCACCCAACACATGATGCTGTGTTCCCACGCACCACATCTGATGTTTTTCACCGCGAACAAACAACACGTGTGGCGTCGCTCTGTGTGCTTGTTCGTAATGTTCTTCATGAGAGCGGCTTAAGTTTTCGGGGTGTGGCACGCCCACGTAGCCTGCCGACCGCTCCGTGGGTGATGGTATCGCGAACTGTCGACGTCTCACTGTCGGAGGTTCAGAAGCAAAATATGATTCCGGACGTTGCCAGATCAACAGCTTTGAAGCATATCGAAACATATCGGGGG